CCAATCAGGAAGCCGGGAGGGGGGTAATGACTCGCTGCCTGGCTTCCCGATTGGCCAGCATCCCAACCAATCAGGAAGCCAGGTTGCAAGCCACTACACGGCGCCTAGCTTCCTGGTTGGCCAGGAAGCCGGCTCCATGCCACCTCGTCACCGGGTGATGAGGAAGCATGGAGGCGGCTGTCTGGCCAATCAGGGAGCCAGTTAATGACTCGCCACACGCTTTGTGATTGGCCAGCTTCCGTATGAATTAGTAAGGTGAGCATGGAGCCGGCTCCCCAGCCAATCAGGAAGCCGGGCATCATGTAATGACTCGCTGCCCAGCTTCCTGATATCGGAAGTTCTGGTATCGGTATAGGCATCAGGAGCATTTGGAGGAGTACGGGTACTCCCCAAAATACTCGGTATTGGCACCGATACCGATACTAGTATCGGTAACGGTGCATCCCTAATACATATGTTTTGATACTCTTTCTCTTGTTCTGAAGTGAATATAAACAATATGGTTATTCTCACTTGAAAATACAGAAGGAAAGCATGATTTCTGAAAATACAGTAATATCTTGCAAATATACCTGTCTTAATGCAGATTGAATGATACATACTAGCTCTATTGTGTCACAACACAACAGGGTACAATATTGTAGGTGTAATATGACATAGCTTTGATGCCCCTTTGCCAAGGATTACTTCAATCAAAACAGCACACGGACAAAAGCCTAAATTAAGTATTCCATATTGACCAACCAGATTACAGTTTGCTGAAATCACTGAAAGATCACTTGCTGCAAGTTTTTTTTTTTTTTTTACATTGCTTTACTGAACATGAATATTAATTTATACATTATTAAGGAACTCCACACGCAAGCATATTAAACTTAGCTAACAGAATGGAAATACACAACACCTGGCCTACAAAGCAGACTGGGGTTTGTATCTAGCTGAAATTTATAAGAACCAAGGATAAATAATATTGTAATATACAAAAAGCAGAATCTGTAATGTACTAGGGATGGTGTATACCAGCTGTGGTAAATTTTCCTCTACTAACATAGACCTGATTAAGGCTGGCACATTCCAGAAGCTATCTCAAATGTGCTCAAGCAATACCTTTCTAGCAGACACAGATTGCATGTCCCATATATCAGACCTTCTGGCAAATACCTGAGTTGCCAGATTGCTTGCCTTATACTTCAGAACTTCTGAAACAAACCAATACAGCTGGACTACTGATCTGTGCCTCCTTTCCAATCGAACATTATATGGCCTTGTATTCTATGCTAGAATCTTCAATTCAGCTCAGAACACCTAAGATACCTCTACACAAAAGTGAGGCTAAATGAAAGTAGTAGAATACATATACACAAAATAAATATTAATGCCACAACATGTCTCTCTAAGCACTCCCAAATACAGTATATACTTATTCAGATATACATATTCATAGCTGCAGAGACAACTTTGAAGACTGAGGCACAAAGCAATGAAGTTATTTCAAATAAACAGCATGTGACCATCGCTGGGCTCTACTGTCATGTCATACACATGCATTGAGGCTTCCTGTAAAGATCCCGTAAATGTAGAGCTGCAGCCAAAAACATTTTTAGCTTTCAGCAGAGTGGGGAAGGGTTATTAGCTCTGCCAGGACTATATTGTTGTCTGTTTCTCCTTTATGGGGATTTCCTATTTTTTCCTTTATGGCATTTGAGATACAAATTGAGGGAAACCTTTCCAATGACTTAGATAGTAAAATATGCATATTTGTAGCAGAGTGGGCAAGGGATAGAACCTCTCTTATGATGTTATTATTATCTATTTCTCCCTTTTGGGAGATTTCCCTTTAAATAATGTATGGTAGAGAGGGAAGCGTTTCCATTAGGGACAAAGACAGTAACATAAGCATATTTTGTAGCAGAGTGGGGAAGGGTTACAACCAATGTTAGGACAACCATCAGGATAGAAACCTAAAGAACGTCCTGCCATTGACAGCTGTCACTAGAACAGGATGTCAGACAAAATCTCTCAATGGGGTCACTTTTGGGGGAGTTCACATCCTCTCATGTCAGGGAGGCAGGAAATGAGAATGACAAAAACAGAAACAAAAACCTGAAAAACAGTCTAAGCCTTCTCCATTTAAAGTAGCAAAAAATAATTGACTGCAATTTAGCTTAAAATCTTTAACATGCATCTACCCTCGTGCACCCCAATAATACCATTTCGCCATGTCAAGATCACTGAAAAGAAAGTGTACTTTAATCCTTTTTCTTCTAAGCTTGAAGGCCCATTCACACTTGAATGCAATGTTGCACAGCACACATACTTTTCCGTGTTGATTGATTAGTTGTCTAATCAATATCTTGCAATGCCTGCAAAGTCAATGGTCTGGAGCAGGGGTAGACAGCCTCCACACTCCAGCTGTGCTGAAACTACACATCCTATGATGCATTGCAAGACCAGTAACAAGCATGACTCCCAGAGGCTGAGATATATCGTTTCACCACAGCTGGAGTGCAGAGGTCGCCTACTTCTTGCCTACAGTAACTACATGGTCCTTAAAGTAAAGCACATGTAGCAATTTTATTATATGCATGACACCAAATGGATATGCACATGCACATTTATATTCTGGACAAATAGGGTTCACACACAGGCATATACCAATCCATAAAAACTTTGTATTCACCACATGAATGTATTTCCACTTCTGCAGCCAAACTGGGATAACACCTATTTCTTACTGGTTACATGTTTCTCATTCACATAGCATATTTTGTTAATTTCCGCTTTCTTATTACAGAGTTTTGCTCTGAAATGCTGGGAGGGGGGGGGGGGGGGGGGTT